AGAAAAATACAATCTGCCATTCTTGACAACAAAAGTGGGAAAGGAAAATATGAACTCAAGAGGCTTGATGTTTTCCCGGTAAAGCTTTTTATGCTGAGGCTCTGAATCAAAGAAAGAGTAGGGTGATATGTGTGTGGGAGAGAGAGCGAGAGCGAGAGAGAGAGAGAGAGAGAGAGAGAGAGAGAGAGAGAGAGAGAGAGAGAGAGAGAGAGAGAGAGAGAGCTGGTATAGAGAGATGCAGTATGTATGGGAAACATTGAGCTGTGACAGCTGCAATCCCTTTCTCCTTAATCTAAGACTACTTTTCCACACATGAGAAAGAAGAGAAAAAAACATCATCAAACGTTCTAAACAAAGTCTATTTCCTCTTCTGGCTTGAATACGGTCACTACCAAGGAGGGTCCAGTACTAGTCAGAAGACCTTTTGTTTTTTGAATATGTTCTTCATTTGTCTGTGGAAATGACACAAAGCTGTGTGTGTTTGAGAAGACGTTCGTCTGATCTTCTCTGTGTCCCTATTGTAAACTCAACCAGGTCGAAATTGGACGTCTATCCATGTAGCTCAATTGGTAGAGCACGGCGCTTGTAACGCCAGGGTAGTGGGTTCGATTCCCCGGGACCACCCATACGTAAAAATGTATGCACACATGACTGTAAGTCGCTTTGGATAAAAGCGTCTGCTAAATGGCATATTGTATTATATTGTATGTCCTGAGGACGTCAGGAAATGCCTTCAAAACCGACCACTAGGGGCAACAGTGAGCCCTATTACCATCAAGTATTGTGGCCATGGCTGGTGGATGAGTGAGACTCTGGATCAGAGGGTGTTCGATGTGTGTTCGATCCCAGTAGTAATCGTATGACTCTGGATCAGAGGGTGTTCGATGTGTGTTCGATCCCAGTAGTAATCGTATGACTCTGGATCAGAGGGTGTTCGATGTGTGTTCGATCCCAGTAGTAATCGTATGACTCTGGATCAGAGGGTGTTCGATGTGTGTTCGATCCCAGTAGTAATCGTATGACTCTGGATCAGAGGGTGTTCGATGTGTGTTCGATCCCAGTAGTAATCGTATGACTCTGGATCAGAGGGTGTTCGATGTGTGTTCGATCCCAGTAGTAATCGTATGACTCTGGATCAGAGGGTGTTCGATGTGTGTTCGATCCCAGTAGTAATCGTATGACTCTGGATCAGAGGGTGTTCGATGTGTGTTCGATCCCAGTAGTAATCGTATGACTCTGGATCAGAGGGTGTTCGATGTGTGTTCGATCCCAGTAGTAATCGTATGACTCTGGATCAGAGGGTGTTCGATGTGTGTTCGATCCCAGTAGTAATCGTATGACTCTGGATCAGAGGGTGTTCGATGTGTGTTCGATCCCAGTAGTGAACAGAGTTTTTATTTTTTATTTTTTGGTGTCAGACGGGCTCATTTTTCTAACTTGATCACTATTAATCAGAATAATTTGAGAGGGTTCTTCTCGACCATTGATGGCCTGATAAATCCTACCCCTGTGAACTTTCCTCCACATTTTAAATGTGATGAGTTTGCGGCATATTTAAGAGATAAGATAACCAACGTTAGGCTGGGTATCAGTCAAGCAAGACCTGATGAGAAGTTTGATGATATTTTCCCTAGCCCTACCACTCAAAGGCACAATGGATTTATTTTCCCTGGTTGACACAGAAATACTCAGGAAAGTGATTTCACAACTTAAGCCTTCTACCTGCCTTCTCAATCTTATCCCCACCACCTTCTTCAAACCAGTTTTTAATTGCGTATCTGAAGAAGTGCAAGCTATTGTTAATCACTCCCTGTTCACAGGCACTTTCCCCACTGCACTAAGAACTGCTATGGTGAAACCCCTGCTGAAGAAAAGTCATCTAGCTTTTAGCAATCTTCGGCCAATCTTTTCATTCTTAAGCAACATTCTGGAGGTATTGGTAATCAAACAGCAAAATGATTTTTGAAGTGCCACCTGTATATGTTAATCTGTTTTTTTGTGCCCACCACAGCAGAGAGACAGCCTTAGTTTAAGTGGTAAATTATCTTAGAGCCAACACAGATGCCAAACAGCTCTCTGTCCTTGTATTCTTGGATTTACAGTGCATTCGGAAAGTATTCAGACCCCTTCACTTTTTCCACATTTTGTTACGTTACAGCCTTATTCTGAAATGTATTAAATAGTTTTTATCCCTCATCAATCTACACACAATACCCCATAATGACAAAACAAAAACAGGTTTTTAGAAATGTTAGCACATTTATACGAATATAATACACAACTGAAATACGACATTTACATAAGTATTCAGACCATTTACTCAATACTTTGTTGAAGCACCCTTTGGCAGAG